AGTTCGCTCACGCGTGTAAATAATTGTAGAGGGACCGCATATCCCATAGGGATGGAGGCACCGCCTCCAGCGGCGTAAGATGAATAATAATAATCTTTTTCATGAAGGCATCATCCCTCACGCCACTCAAGTCAGTTTTTCCCCCCACTACAACCAGAAGTTCAGAACCAAAATCAGGACCATAACCACAAACCTCCTTCCAGCCACCTTACCTAATCAAGGAGCACTTAATATAAAATATGATACCAAAAACTCACCAATGACACACACACAAAAACAGTCCCCTTAGCGCAGTGGTTAGCACTTGATGCTTGAAGCGATTTGATTTTCACACAGCGAAATTTGGCTTTGGGCAGTGAGAGACGTCGATACGAATCCGACCGGGGACAATTTCTTTTTTTTTTTTTTTTTTTTTTCTATTCCTCCTTCTGAGAAAAAAAAGATAAAGATAATAGCTATTTGTCACCTCCTACAATGCTTATGCCAAAATATCATTTTATCTATCTTATCTATCTTGTTTAAAGAAAGTCCCTCAAAATAATATTTCATGCCTTTTATATTCAAAAAGCTGTGTTTTCATTTTTATAGAGGTTTTTGAAAGATAGAATGGCTTGCTACCAAAGTGTCATGTTCGTAGGAAAATGTCGCGTGTTTTTGGAAGCCATACTGCCAAATCTTGAAGACAATTTTCTTACAATCTGAATAGACATAGACCCCTCGTTTCCAACTACCACCCCACTCATATTAGGATAAGCGCCCTTGGCAACTTTTTATTTTAATTTTTAAAATCTTAAATTTCAAAAGCGAGGCTGCTACTTATTTGATTGGCGGTTGTGATTGACCGGTGGTGTTGCGCAACCGCCTACAGCAAGATAGTCCATAGCCTTCCGTCCATTTTGGATTGATTGCATCAGGTGACGCAGTCATGAAGTCGGGGGGAAGCGCGATGCTATTATCCAGCAAGAGGGTGTTATAGTATTTGAGATGGAAGGTGCTGGAGTATGGGATATCTTCCCGTGCGTGGTGATTAAAGGTGCATGTGACTACGCAGATAGCCACAAGACCAAAGTTTGGCAGCGGTATGCAGCAGCAACAGCAGCAACATGCATGAGGACCTTCTTAGACAACTGGATACCTTCACAGACAGGTGTGTGTTTCTCATCTCGTTAGCCTTCTGCAAATGGTTACTGACATGTACATGTCTTGAATCTGCCTTGGACCAAAAGCAATGTACAGGACCTTGGTGTACGTAAAATAATCTCATGATTGCATTATTGAACCAATTTATTCTTACAAATCCATAGTTTATGTTCCCTACCCAGAAAATGAATCTTTCATGGGTCGGGAATCGATTCTTCAGAAGCTCCAGCAGCAGTCTATGAAACCTGCGTCAAAGATGGCACTTAATGGCCTCGGTGGCATTGGGTCAATTCATTCATCTTTTGTATCAAGTTTACGCCAGCTAACCCAGAATAGAAAAACACAAATTGCTTTGGCACACGTTTACTGGCCCCACAAGACAAGCCCAGATGTCTCAATCTTTTGGGTACATGCACACAATGCCGAGAAATTTCGGCAATCATTCGTGTCAATTGCCCAAGAATGCCAGATATCGGGCAGTTTTGACCCCAAGGCAGACATCTTACTTTTGTTGAAAAGATGGATAGAAAGGAAAGAAAGTGGCCGATGGATGATACGCACCTCTTTTTTGGCATGCCGAAGGAATCAGTGAGTAGAGATGGATTAAAATTACCATCAGGAACAAGGAGATAGATAGCCTCGCGGTTTGCCAAAGGGAAACGCCCAATTGAAGTTGGAAAAATGAACCGGGAGAGTCGAAGCAGCTATTGCAAGAGAAACTTGAAGCAGTTAGGCCGTCATCATGATGCGCTCAACTTAATGCAGCAGTCTGTTGAAGGCCATAACTGGGTACTAGGTCCAGATCATCCACATACAATAAGTTATCAAAGTTGGTTGACTAAGTGGCTCCCAGAAGGTGGCACGGAGATGGCATGTGTAGGAACTTGAACCCATAAGAGAAGGAACCCCTTTATCAGTTAAATCTGTCAAAAGGTTGATAGGTGTAACTTACACAGTGTAAACAAGCCCCTTAACGTTATTTAATAATAAAAAGAAAAGAAGAAAAGTGGGAAGTAATTAGTTGACCAAATTGTTGGTGGCTGCGACAGATTGGGGATCCGTCAAGCATAACATTGGAGAAGTTTCAGTCTATTAGTTTTTGTTGTTCTGTGATATCCATAAAGTTGGTGGTCACTGTTCGGCCAACAACAATTGAACCGTCAGCTCGCAATGTTTCTCTACCTTTGCAAAACAAGTTTTCACCGGTCTTCATGGTCGTTTGATTCCCAGGTTTCATCGTATGACTCAGGAGACGGTATCATTCGCTCTATAATCCATGTTTGATTCCCGAGGTATATTGCCATCCCTGTACCACTTTCTGTTCTTGTCATTGCAACCATGGGCCGTAGGCTATGAACAAGGTCCCAACATCCCACAGGAAGTAGTCAAATGGCAACGCTTGTCCTTTTTTTGTGATCAGTCTTTCATCTGTCGTTGCTGCGAGGAGAAGCGTGAAATAAGTAAAGCCGTGAAATGAATGAAGGCCACATGCCGACAAGACAGGCGACAGTATGGATTTTTAAAAATAAGGAGCCCCATTTTTTTATTTTCAAATTTTAGAATACGTGCGAGCGAACGGCCCAAAAATCGGCATACTTTAATCGCACGCCTCATATCCTGAACGGGAAACAATTTTCCTCAGAAACAACTTTACTGGAAAACTCTCACATCTCTAATCGGCTTAGGGTTATACCTAGGTGTAAAAGATTGGGCTGCATTGTGGGAGGTGATAAACTGCATTGTACGAAAAGACAACCTGATGATAAAACTCCCGAAACCGAAAAGGGGCAAAAAAAGGAAATCTCCCCTCCCCATCGTCCCTCTGCTCAACCTTAGGCTTTAATTATAATAAGAAAAGATGAAAGGCAATGAAGAAATGAAAAGGAGAAGGTGTGACCAATTAACAGTAAAGGGGGGGGAATAGAAAAGAGTAAAAACGAAAGAAAAAAGAAGAAAAAAGAAGAAATTGCCCCCGATCGGATTCGAACCGACGTCTTTCGTTGCATTAAATCAAATCGCTGGATAAATATATACGCTGAAGAAAAGCACAAAACGCTGAACGCTGAGCTACGGGGGCTGTATTCTGTAACCTGGTTGGAAAAGGGAATCCAGAATTTGAATAAATAGTCCTGGGGTCCTGGTGGTGGAAGAGTGGTTGTGGTGGAGTTTGTGGCTGGCTTGGACTTTGTCATGACGTGGTAAGACTCTGGTTTTGGGCAAAATAAGTACTTTGATGTTGATTCTTTCACAATGGTCTTTATTTTATGTTTAATCCAGAATCTGGACTGACGAAGAGATATACCCCGTACTGCTTGTAATTAACAGACAGAATTATGACTTGTGAGGTTATTAGAAATGTTGACATCAGGATTTGATGGTTTCAAGACGCCAAGACCCTGTGGCTATAATAAACGGCCAAGTTTTGATGGTAACAAGATCTCTTACTTTATCAGATGATGATTTCTGGGGTTCTTTAATCAAGGTTGGTTGACAGTCTCGTACAATACCCCCCCCCCCCCCTTGAATGTTTGTTTGTAAGATACTTGATTTTTGAATATACATATTTTGGAATCCAAAACGCCTATTAATTTTTTCCAAAGGCCATTCTTGTTTTAAAAATGGCTAACGTTATTTATCTATAAAAACTTCTTATCCTGTCCGGAGGACAATATTGTAGCCAAACTTTTAAAATTCTCATACAAAATTGATATGGAAATTGTGGATCCCGTACGGGCTACCTTTATTG